CATGGCAGAGACAGTAAAGTCTCGGGCGTGCATCTTCTCAGTGAGCCAATCAACCTTCCTTCGGGTGTTAATGAAGATGACTGCCTGGGTGATGGTCAGGGTCTCATACAAGTCACACAACGTGTCCAGCTTCCATTCCTGGAGATAGGAAAAAAATAAATCAAAATAAATGAATCAGCCAGGGGCAATACCCAATGCCTCACCACCAGGCTCACCTCCCACACCACACTCCACCTCTCGTTCCACATTGATGTAGAACTGGCGGATACCCTCCAGGGTCAACTCCTCCTTCTTGACGAGAATCCTAATGGGGTCCCGCATGAACTTCTTGGTCACCTCTAGCACATCAGAAGGGATTGTAGCTGGCAACAAAACCACCTGGGTGTTGCTGTTGAGCTTCTGGAATATGTCGTAAATCTGGTCCTTGAATCCACGGCTCAACATTTCATCAGCTTCGTCTAACACAAACATCTTGATGTATTTGGGAGACAGGTATCTCCGGTTAAGCATATCAAATACGCGGCCAGGGGTTCCCACGATGATATGGGGAGCTTCCATCTGCAGCTTCTGTACCTCAGCACGCACGTTGGTGCCCCCAATACAGGCATGACACGAGGCACCCATGTAATCTCCTAACGCCATGACCAGCTTTTGTATATTATTTGTGGCTGAGGTTCACATCAGGATAATCACTGTATCTGCCACTAATCTTAAATCCAGTTTCCCCTTCAAGACTCAAGAAAACAGAGGGCAAGGTTAGGATTTTGTGTCCTAGGCATGAAACAGCTTTGGCCACCAACCCAGGCATCAAGCTAGGATGAACAAAGGACATCTGCTCTGCCCCTGACTGATATAAGAACAACACCACCAATGAGGTGCCTCTTTGCCCATTGCCAGGGGGTTATAACACATCTTGATCATCATAAATCCAATTAACCCTCCATTCTTTTCCCCTTCCTCTCATCCAATTTTCCATCTCTAGAAGACCATCTTTTAGTTTTCTCTCCTCTCTCCATGTTACTTTGCTTACTTACGTAGTTAGTTAGTTAGTTAGTCATATGGGGGAAGCCACAATTGCATGGAATTTATTCACTGTTCCTCCACTGAGTTAATTGCTCATTTGTTTTTTACTTTTTCTGTGAAAAATGTGATGGCTGAGTGTGCCTGTCGTTGCTTCTACATCTTGTGTTCTGTCACACTGATTTGTCATGTCTGGTTTTTTTTTTTTTTGCCAGTCCCATGCTGTTTTTAATCTCTGTAACTTTGTAATTTAACTTGAAATCTTGGATTGCGATGCCTCCTGCTTTGGCGTTGCTGCCCAGGAATGTTTTTGTTATTCTGGGTCTCTTCTGTTTCCATTTGATTTGTAAGATAGTTTTACTAGTTCTGTGAGGAATGCTGTGTGATTGTAACTGTACTGTCTACATACCAGTTTTGGTAATATTTCCATTTCAACAGTATTCATTCTGCCTATCCAGGAACGGGAGATATCTTTCCTTTTTATGATGCTGTCTTTGATCCTTTTACAGAGTACTGCAGTTTTGATTATAGAAGCCTTTTAAGTCCTTTCATACATTAAATATGTATTAAATTTTTCTTGAACATATTGTAAGTGCTTTTTAAAAAATTTATGTCTTGGGGCTGGGGATTTAGCTCAGTGATACAGTGCCTGCCTGGCAAGCACAAGGTTGTGAGTTCGATTCCCTGTACTAGAAAAAACAAAACAACAACAACAAAAAAATTCTGTCTTGGTGAATTCATTTTTTGTGTATAGGAATGATACTGATTTCTGTGTTTTGATTTTGCAGATTGATAATTTAAATAGATTTCCTTATGTGAATCATTTTTCCATTCCTGAAATATATCTCTGTTTGGTTTTTGTCTCCCAGAATCACTAGGATTTCAAATTTATTTGAATGAATTTTTCCAAAGTAACATCATTTTAAAGATTATCTATTTCAATAATTTTTGTTCTATAACTTCCTATTGTTTGGTGTGTGTTTCCTTTTCATCTCCATCTGATTAGATATACGTGTACCTGTTTTCTACATTTTCAAAATCCAGAAATTGGTTGATCAGCTTTACTTTCTCTGTTCTCCAAAAGGTTATTTACTTTCTTTATTATGCTCTTGCTTCTGTCTTTTTTACTTCATTGATTTTTTTCTATTTAGAGTTTGAATTTACTGTACTATGATATTTCATGCAAATTTTCTTGTGAGACTGCTTTGTTATATTAGGGACTGTGGTGTAAAGTGCTACCACCTTTAAACATATTTCATATTTTTAGTTAATATTTTGACACAGCAGTTATTTAAACATGAGTAGCCTTTCCAGCTTGATGGGATACTTCATCTTTCAAATTAATTTATACTCTTATTGCACAGTGGTAACAGCATACTTGTATGAACTTGACCTCATGGAATTTATTACAGTTTTTTTGGTACATTAACATGTGGTTGTTCTTTATAAATGTTCTGCTCTATGTACTTGAAAATGTGTTTTCTCTGCTATTAGGGTATGAAGTTTTGGTACTATAATGATTTAAAAAATTGAGGGCTTCTTTTTTTGTTTTCTTCTCTTTTTTCTTTTCTTTTTTTTTTTTTTTGAGACAGTCCCACTATGTAGCCTAAGCTGGCCTTTAATTCTCCCTACCTGCGTATGGGGTGCACTACCATACCCAGCAAGTAAAGGTTTTTACGTAATTTAATTTTGTTCTCTTTGCAGGTAGAAGGTATGGGAAACCCACCAATGAGGTGACCTCTGATGAGCTGAAGCCCAAGGATTAGTCATCACCTGGCCAGGGGTCAGCCCCAAATAGGAAGTAAATATATAGTGAATGAATAAGTGAATGGGAATCTACCCAGTAGATAGTGAGGAGGTCATGACTTGGAATTACAGTGTATAGTGGGAAAGACTGAGGAGGCTCTGCCCCCTTGTGGTAATGTAGCTGTGGCCATAGCCTGTGTTCGAGGCACTTGGAGAACCTTGTTCTCTCCCTGCTTTGGGATAACACTCATTCTGCAAAAATATACTGTGCAGCCTCAGTGACCCCATGTGTAATTGGTAGCCCTTCTCTATTTGTTTTGAGAAGAGTGGCAGGTCAATGTGTGGCCAGAGGCAAAAGAGGGGAGGAAGTAGAGCCCTAAGCAATGCACTCATGGTGGGATCCATGGGAAGACTGAGGTGACAAGGGGTCCAGCCAGATCTCACAGGTCTTGTGGCTAGATTGAGGAAGATTACTCTGGATGAGATAGAAGCCATAGCAGGTGCTGAAGAATGTGGACAGGAATTGGAGCCCATGAAGAGAATGAGGTGGGTAAGCCGGGCGTGGTGGCGCATGCCTGTAATCCCAGCACTCGGGAGGCTGAGGAAGGAGGATCGTTGCAAGTTCGAGACCAGCCTGGGCTACAAAGTGAGCTCAAGGCTAGCCTGAACTGCATAGCGAGACCCTATCTAAAAAAAAAAAAAAAAAAAAAAAAAGAGAATGAGGTGGGTAATGTTGAGGCAGAATTGAGGTGGAAGAAGCTGTCACTGCAGATGTCATAGCCAAGAAAGGCTTCAATTAGCAGGTAGATCCTCATACTATGTTTCCTGTTTCTGAAGACCTGGTGCTTTAACATCCATCTATGTACACATGCTGGAAAGTCTGTGCTCTGGACAAGTCAGGGTTATGCCTGAGTAACCTTGCCTTGTCCTCCTTGGTCCTTTATCCTTCTTGCTACTCCTTCTCCTGGGACTGTGCTTCTAAAAAAATATGATAATCCAGATTTGCATTTTAGTGCCATATAAAGTCCATCAAGATAATGTATAAACAAAATAGAAGACCTTGGCATAGAGATTCCTGTCACATGGGTAGTCATAACTTATTACCTAATTGTTTGGTCTCAGCCATTCATTAGTATCTTTGACGACCTCGATGACCACTGATGAAGCACGTGACCCAATAACATTTGTGGGTGTTCACAGATATGTTGTCCTGCACTTCCCTCACTGATAATTCTTGAATCTTTAAAAGTTCACGTGTTTGTCCTCTATGACTGGGGACTAGGAATTGTCCTTGGGTTTTCTTGCCCTTCTTGTATTCTGGACCTGCTCCTGCTGGTTTTTCTCTCTAGTTCACTTTTTGGTTTGGGTAGAACATAGTCTCCAGTGTTTCCTGAGACATGATGCATGCACCAGAGGAAATCACAACCCTTTGGGTGGAGGAAAATGCCTTTGGTTCCATGTTCACTTTGGACTGACAATTTGGCTGAGCATGGATCTTAAATCAAAAATCATTTCTTCAGATAAAGGACTGAATTTTGGTGGCTTTCATCATGTCTCTTGTAATTTTTGGTGTTGCCAGTGAAATTCTGAAACTATTATCTGTCTCCTGTAATTCATTCATTTGGCCTAATTTTTTTCATCTGAAAGCTTGTGGTATCTTCTCTTTGTCCTTCTCTCGATCCTAAAATTCAAATCCAGATGTCTCACAACTGCGTGGGCAGCAAGGAAAACATGTTTGTGTTTCCTCTTTGTGGGCGGATGCAGAAAGGCAGCAGATAGCTCACACAGGGTAACTTGGCTGGTAAGAGAATACCAGGCATTTAGAAAAACAACAACAACAAAAAACCTATTAAATACAATGTATCAGAAACAAAAGTGCAGTTAGCTCTTCAAACGAATTTAAATTAATTACTCTTTCTATAAATTGCAGCTTGAAACAAACATGAATTCAAGTAAATACCAAGCTTTACCAACTGATTAAGAGGAGGCATTCTCTGTGCCAAATGTCCAGTCTTATTAAACTGCATTTACACCATACAGGTATACATGGAGAGGGGAGATTTTCATGCACTTCATTTTTTTTGATGGATTGTGAATTCATGCTGCAGGGCCTCCTCAGAAGCAGTCAAGTTAGTCTGACAAAGCACTGAGTATGGAGACAGATTTGCAGTCTCACGGTGGGAAATCACACTGCTTTTTGCTAGATTTTTTGTTGTTGATTTTTAGCACTGAAGATCAAAGGCAAGGCTTTACCAATGCTAGGTAAGCGCTGAACCACTGAGCTGCCCCACACCCCACACGCTGCCTCCACAGTTGTATGTTTTTGTTCAAGTTTGCTGATGTTCTGGCTTTGTTTCTGTTTTTAGAGAGAGGGTCTCATTATATAGTCCAGCCTATCCTCAAGCTTACTCTCCTTCTGCTTCAGCCCCCACAATGGCTGGGATTGTCATAACACCCAGCTTTTGAATTTGTGTATCTATGCCTAATTTTTTCCTATCCATTCAAGTTTGGGTCTCAGTAAGAGATTTGTGAGACCCTAGCGCCACCCAGAGCCTAAATCCGTCAATACAGCAGTGACCCGGCCGCTCCCGCCCGCGAGGGAGCTGGCGCTGCACAGGCGCACTGGAGCTGGCGCAGCAGCGAATACCAGTGGCGTCATCAGATGGTGCAGGCGGGAAACACGTGGAGGATCCACAAAGTAGGAGAAAACAAACGACTTTGTTGTGAGCACAGTAGTTTTCCACGGGGCTATGAGTTCTTCTGCACCACAGTGGTGTCGACGCAAGCATATTATGCTATGGTGGACTTTTCACATAGCTGATGCCCTCCAAACTTTCGCCAAAGAGCTCATCCTGAGAAAAATCTACAAGGTAACTCCAAAGCCGGCGGCGGGGGCGGG